TAACAACCTTTCCCACTATTGTCCCGGGCCATATCCACACAAGTGAAAAAACCCAGGCTAGTTGGGAAAGTGCCTCTTGATAATACATGGTACACAAAAACTCATTTATTGATGGGAAAATGTACAACGCACATTGTGTATTTTCTTCATGTCTTAGGATCTGAAAGGAAAAGTGATGCCCTGGGACAGTATTCCAATCACTTGTCTCGGGTGAAATTTACATCTGCACGTCATTCTTTTTCCTGTTTCGATGCTTGATGATCTGCTGCCGTGGCCTTCAAAAAAATAAATTGAATCGGATCTACATGCTTTTATCTTCCATCTCCTGAGACTCGGCGTTCTGTCACATGCAGAACGATGGAGCCAGGGCGTGGGGCACACTGTTGTCAGCTTTGTGTAACTCTTTGCACTGGAAAGACAAAGGCATCTCCTCACTGGCCTTGTATGTGCGTATATGTGTGTGTGTGTATGTGTGTGGGATGTGTGGGAAGAGCTCGCAGAACAGAGCAGCGATACATCAGGCATGAATTTTTTAGCAGATCCGTGATTATGAGAAAAAGAAAAATGGAGGCTGTTTTGATGTGGAGCAGATGCAGTAGGAGGAAACGCGGCCACAGACAAATTGTTAATCTGGTTCTCTGGAAGGAAGTGATCTGATAAACTGCACAGGATGTACGAGAGCCATGAATTATAAAGTGTACAAGAAGAGTTGGGCATGTTTTACGATCACATGAGTGCTTATCTTACATCTATCTGGATTCTAGGTTACACTTGTCGTGAGGACTGAGATGGGTTTTGTGATGATGGAAAAAGTGTTGCCATAATCAAACATTTTAAACAACAAAATGAACTTGCTGTAAACTCAGTAACCTCTTAGCACATGTATTATTTCACCTGTTTACTTATTTCTCTTTCTTTCTTCTACTGATTTAAAGATGCAGTCAGTGATTTTTTTACATATGCATTTTTTTTTAAATATTGTGGAAAAACGTCCCTAAACCCTAAAAGTAGTCAAGTTATCATGTGTTTTCAAATTGTAATGGAATTGACCAGATAGTTGCCCTACGCTCCAAAAAACATTTTGGAGCGGACCAATAAAAATGAACCAATGGGATTCGTTTATCCCCTTCACCCTCTTCCTGTTTCTCACGAGTGTGCGCACCTGAGTTATCGGATTTTATAAAAACCTATAATGGCTGAACAGAAAATGCCAGCTTCACGTTTGCCACCCACTCTCCCTGTTGTGACAAAATAAAAAAAAATGCTGGATGTGTGGTTTGGTGCAGAGGCGAGGGGGGGGGGGGGGGAGTGGTTTTCCGTTGGTGCTAAGGCTAAGCTAACAACATTGCTTACTGCACCTTTAAGCAGTTTTTATTTGTGTAGTGTTCTACAGTATCTATTGACTGCCATTGACGTATTTGGCTGAGACTGGTGATATCTGTGAACTTCTCTCTCTATTTGAATGAAGATTACAGCAGAACAAAACTAGCAAGATATCAACTTATTTTTGCTGATGAAAGTAGACGGTCCAATCTTTCAGAATCTGGTTACATATTTTACATAGTCACAGCACACAATATTCTGTGGGTCTTGAAAGTCAGTGAAATTATCAAAAACGGCTGGCAGTCAGTGAGTATAATTTTTCAGGAATCTTTGAAAAAACTGTGGGTTGTTTATCTTTTGTTTCGTTTTTCAGCATATCATAAACTTATCATATGATTTATTTTCTGTGTTTTACTTTAGAATTTGCGTTTTATAACAACAGCTCTTTCTCATCATCTTTATTTCACTCTTGTACCACATAAACTTTGACAAATACACCTTTATCAGTATCCATAGCAACATCTCTCGTCCAAGGCTAGCTTCTTGTTTTTTTTTTTTTTTTGCTTCTGCTGTGAATCCTGAGTTTTTCAGCTTGTAAAAAGTGAGTGAAGAGACATCAAAGATTAAGATGAAGGCGTTGGAGCTGCAAGAGAGAAACGGCTTTAAATAGCACACAAAGTCCACCGTGATGGTACATTTAATGTTTTAATACAGTTCAAGATAGACTTCTCTCATAAACAAAAAGAACATTTTTGGCTATATCAAAAGCTATTTAGAAACCAGTGACTAGACTTGGAGACAACAGTGGTCATGTGCTTATACATGGTTTGGGTATCAAATACAGACACTTTTTCACAAAAGTTCAGAAGAAAAAGTCTCACGCATTGGTTTACAAGACGGCATTGATAGTTTGAACCACATTTACTAACACACTGAGCCATTTAGAAAGAGCTATAATCCGAGGAAGAGAGATAGTAGGGGTTGAGGGAGACAGTTGGGTATCGATCTTGGTCCATCAAAAGCAGAGAAATCACTCAAATGACATTATGAACAGACAAATACTATTATCACAAACTTTATAGAGGGATATACTACAGTACGTGCTGGGCTGTTAACACTGGGTAAGGCTTACATATTTTGTCCCCTTTAACGAGTCATAGTTGCAGTTGTAAATGCAAGGTCATAGAGTTATAACTTTTCTCCCCCAGTTCTGTTGACAACAAAAACAGCTTGAAATTGTGGGCTGGTGCAAGGGAATATAAATGAGCTTGTGGACAGGTTTACACATTGGCCACAGTTCTCTTGTAATATAAAGAATTGTCACGCAAGCCTGCAGGGAGCACCGTCTACACTCCCTCTATTAAGTCCCGGAACAGCAGGTAGCACCAGCACTGCCGATACACAAGTCACTCGGATCCCTCCCCGCTCGTAAAGCAGAGGTCATTAGACACAGAGACTTGCACGCCTTGAGCCAAAAAAAATGACTATAAAATTACTTGCACCAGTTTTTGAGGAGAGTTAAGATGTAAACTGCTTCCTGTTTTGATGGAACAAGCGATCCGCAAACTTCAAAAATACAACCAAGAAGTGCTACTACCACACGAGCACAAGAAAGAGGAGCAGGAAGTGTTTGGCAGTGCAGAACCATATGGAGTTTGTACAGTGGTATGTACAATATACCTGTAAACAACATTATTAGACTTAATAAAAAAAAAAAAATAAAAAAACAGAAAAAGAAAATGCATGCTGTCATTTGCCTGCAATGCCCTGGTTATGTTTAGTCCAGCCAAACATTATCCTTAGGTTATAATATGATAAATAAAACTGAGATTGAATATAATACTCTACAATGGTGTGAATGTTTACAGAAATAAGAGCTGTTCACCTAAAATTAAATAAATTGATGCATGCTCCAAATTGGTGCATGAAGATAGATTTTTTAGGCATTTACAAGGATGGGAAGGACAAATGAAAACTTTTGGTTGACTGAACTATTGCTGATTGAACTGATTTGTACCAGGGGTGTCCAAACCGGTCGAGAAAGGGCTGCTGTGGCTGCAGGTTTTCTATTAGACCCAGCATGAGCAGAGCAGACTCCTCCCACTTCCTAAGCTGAGGAAGTGGGAGGAGTCTGCTCTGCTCCTGCTGGGTCTGATAGAAAACCTGCAGCCACAGCAGCCCTTTCTCGACCGGTTTGGACCATACTACTGAAAAATTAGATATGAACTGACATACAAATAAATCACTACACTGACGTTGTTATAGCTAGGCTTGATTTTTCATATTTTTGTCCTGCTGTGGTGTAATCCGTCTTCTTGACCAGTACCACCAAACACTATTGAATTTCATGCATTTTGTTGTGAAACCAGTGGATATGTTGTTTACAGTGCAAGCATCAAAAGGAGCACCAGTAACTGTACACTATATACAGAGCATAGTGTAAAATGTAACTGGACACCGGGCTTTCGTTCACTTCTGCTTGAAATGTCTTTTCTTTGTTTCCAAGTGCACTTTCTGAGCTGGAATTATACAAACAGTATATATAGGAAAGTCGCAATTGAAGGAGCTGTATTGATTGTTTTCCATAAGGGATAATCAAAATCGAATGCAAAAAAAACATAATAAAAAGATTATAAGGGGCCCTTAATCAGCTTGTTTTCTCTTATACTCGCATGTTGATGTAATTTGTTATAGTAATGGGCCGTAAATGCAGAGGCCATTGTTAGTTTAGGCCGACCTTGCAAATAAACATTTAAGAACAAATAGGGTCGTCGAAGTAGAACTGTGGATTATTTAGTCTCACTTTTCAACATTATTTCACAAATGTTAAAAATCTAATGATAATAATAAGGCCCCTTTAAGTCCTTTTGGGTTCTCCAGCTCAGTATTGGCATCCCTTAACATACAGATGTATTAGCAGTATATAATATAATCCCTTAGTTTCCCCTGTCTGCTCTTACAAACAGTAGACTTCACTGCACTTGTTCAATTATCCAAAGCCTAGGTCCCCAGTCACAAAGGCTCAGCGTGTGTGCACCATTACAGGAACTATACCATTGTAAACGGAGGATTTCCGACGCATAGGCAGTGTTTGCCCACTGTGGAACTGACAGCTTCATTAGAAATAGTTTGCAAGTTTGCTTCAAGAAAGTCACATAAGTAGCTGATTGGCAATAATTAGTACCATAGAAACAGTACAGAGGATGGAACAGTACATACATTTACTGGCCACAGATGTAAAGTTCTACACCCAAAGTTGTATGTACATTGCAACGTAAACAGTTAATTTCTGTCTACTTAACCTGTACAGGCATCACTTGAGAGATTCAGTCCATTTGAAAGTACATGTAATTGTTGCTTCCTTTTGCGTCTGTATTCAACACACAAAACCATCCAATGTTGGAGTTGTTTGGCAGAAGTGGTGAGGATTGTGCCGCGGACCTGTGTGCATTTATTGCAAAGATATGTAACATGTTTTCAGAGCACCCACAATTGTTGGCACTTCATATTAGCGTTGAGAAGTCTTTGTACATAATTGTTCTGTCATGTATTGTCTGAATGCGGTTGCTTATTGTCTGTTCCTGCACCCATTCATTTGACCAGACTGTGCTTGTATGTCCCTGTCTGGCCTGAGGCACCTTCTTAATCAGTAGCATCTTCTCTCTTCCCTCTGCCCCTCAGCAGTTGGACCCAGCGGGCGTGTAGTTGCTCAGCTCCCTGCGGATGGTGCTAAAAGGCGACAGCTCCAGTTCGGTGGTGCATTCGTGCTCATTGTCATCGCTGCCAGTTGCGGATGAGGGCAAGTGGTTACAGCAACAGCAGCAGCAGCAGTCCAAAAAGGCTCTCCCAAGAGGCCTGCAGAGGAGAAGCAACAGAGCGGGGGTAACGGCCGCCCGACAAAATAGCAAAAGCTGAGAGAGGAGATGCAGCACTGACATGGTATGCTCCGGGACACCAGCCGCCATGTAGGCAGACACGATATTGCAAATGTTTTCGGGAACCACGCACGCTCCGTAGACAATAGCCAAAGCTACAACAGTGCAATTCATTTGACTCTCCAACCGGATTTGCTTCTTGTTGCTGCGAACGCTTGCCTGCTCCGCTCTCCGGATCTTGCGTGCGGTCACGAGCGAGCAACCAATGGTGAACAGCGTGGGCAGGCAAAAGTAGCAACCGAAACACCACCAAAGTCTGGCGCCTTCGTAGGTCAGGCCCAGAACGTAGAGCATGTCGGGCAGAGTGGTGGAGATTCGGATGATGCAGCGTTCCACCGGGGGCTCGTCCGGAATGCCGCTGTCTTCGACCACCAGCTGTCGGATCAGCAGCTCGGGCAGGGCCAAGAGCAGGGCGCCGATCCAGATGACGGCTAATTTGGCGGTGGTTGATGTGCAGTTCTCGATCATCTCGTAGTACATCTGGACGTTGGTGGCGGCGCGGAAGCGGTCGATGCAGAGGGCGCACAGGGTGAAGGTCGTCACACCCAAAGAGGCCACCTGAGGAGATAGAATGATGGTTATTTGTGAGAAAACCGATTTGTGTGTGATGTTGCGAATGAGTGAAATATGGACAATATATGATTGAACATCACTTTTAGGGACTCCTACTTTCACACCCAATAGATTATAAGCAATGGTGTAAGATTTGGTGGAGGTAATCTTCTTGGACCACATCCCAGATATTTACGAAAGATGGGTCAAAACCCAGGAGGTCCCACAGGCAGCAGTAACCAAGGCAATTGGCAGCAAATATTGGCCTGAATATCTGAAGTGCCTAAATGTGTGTGGGTGGATCATTCAGCTTAAACTGTTGACTATGTATTTTATAATTATCTCTTTTGTATGTTGCGTGATAGTGATATTTGATGATGATTGTAATACATTCTCTGATGTGAAGCACTTCGAGTTTCTCTGTGTATAAATTGTACTATAACTTGCCTTACCATTCCATAATATTCAGACAAAGACAAGACACTAAATGAAAGCTGATCTTGAACTAGGCCAAGCCGGTATCACAACAGGACAAAATTGTATCAAAGAGCATCCCCTGAGACCAGAAGCAAATATGAAAGCATTGACTACCACAACAGTTGTACAGCCACACTTGATTTAAAATGATTGGGTTATTGTACTAACATGAGTGCTCAGATATTCATAAAAGCACAAGTCCTATTCAAGAGGGAAACATACACCATATTGGAAAAACACATAATGCTAGGTTCTCCAGTCGTTCTCTTCAACAGCAATACGTATGAGTGGCTGGAAGGGTGGCAATCAAGTGCCACAAGGCCCTCATGTCGTTTATGACCAGGCCGCAATGCAAGCTGCTTATTGCAATGAGCTGTGTCCTTTTCTTCTCCAAATTAAGAGACAGGAATAAGCCATCAACATGGTGAGGCTATTTTTGGTCTATATTCTAAATTGTTTGTCATTGTGGTCATGGCTCGATGTGCTATACTGTATGTCATATTACTATTTAACAATAAATGGGAAGAGTGGCAGTAGCTTCCCCTTTGAGCTTTGAGTTTGTGGGTTTGAGCTTACCACGAGACCTTCTCCACCTACTCCAACTGATATCTGCTGTCGATGTGTCCTTGAGCAAGACACTTAACCCTACTTTGCCTAAAACCCTCATTGAATTTATCAAGGCTGTGTCGTTACTGACAGAGCAGCCATCCTCCTGTGGACCCACCACCTGCAGGAGGATCAATGAGGGGCTGGTGCTCCGTGACTTGGGTGCAGCTCTGATTTCCACCCCCCCCCTGACCCAGAAATGGATTAAAGGGAAGAAAATGGATGGATGATATTAAAAATAATAATACTTTTTGATGGGGGTACATAGTTAAAATAGAAGTTCTTCTGATATAGTAAAAATAATGAAATGTTGTCCTGTTTACTGTATGCAAATGTATTCGGGGCCGCACTAGCAATGATTTCCTGGCGATCTTTCTCAGTGGAGGTTGCATGTTCTCCCAGTGTCTGTGTATAGATTTTTCCTGGATGGTTTCCTGTACCACTAAAACACATACAATGACCAGGACTCCCCTGAAAGAGATTCTGAAATATGAGTGGGGCTATCATGGTTAAATAAAGATCAACACATAAATAAAAAATGTAATCGATACTATCAAATTAGTATCTTTTCTCAATTCTTTCAATGCTTTATAGTCCAGTCTCATGCCTCTTGTCACAACTCTTGGGAAACAAATTTACCCACCAACATGGTATGTTAGAAACATTTAATTCAATAAATACAACTTATTTTTGTACAGGTCTGAAGCATAACAGTAGTCATCTTGGAGGACTACAGAGTTGTTGATTTGCTAACAACAAATCAGATGTTCAAAATATTCTAGCACAGGAAATTTAATAATAACAACCACGTAGTTCCATAATTGTCATAGTCATCATTTTCATATGGCATATTGTCCTATTGTCAGTACTTGAAGGAAAGTTTGGTATTGACTGCAATCTGTATCTGAATTTAACAAATTGTCATTTGGCAGAAACAAAATCTAAACATTAATTGAAATGCATTGTCACACTTCCAATTCATCTCAGTTTTGCTCTGAAAACCTGTGTATTGAGGCTAATTACCTAACATGGTCTTCACACTAGGTTGACAAATGATGGGAAAAGACTCCAGTTTCCTCAGCATGTGTTGGATTAGCATTTTGGCAGAGTGGGCACCGGTAAGCTACTCCACAGCAGCAGCTCAGAATGTCTGAGAGCTGGTGTCCTCATCTGAACCATTCTTTCTCCTGATTTTGCCTCTAGCTCTAAACCTGCAGGCGCCAATATTCCCCTGCACACACACACCTTTCTCATACCTTCTCTTTGTCCAACATCAAATCTGCTCTCACCATTGATTCCCATTTGCACGTATTTAGTCCCTTCTTCCCATCCCTCATATCTGATTTAATTACAGCCGCCAGCTTCCCAGATGGCCCTGGCGAATCTGGTTTGCGAGCCCCAAATGCATTTAGCCTGCATGGAAGGATATATAGATGCAATATGACTATGGAGGGGATGTGTTCTCATGACCAGTGACCCTATGACACACAGGAAGCAGCTAACAGGGCAAATGAGGGCTGACCATTTGAAAAATCGAGGCCAGACGAGTGGCAAGAACACAGGCTAGGAGGCTGCTGACCCAGAGAGCTAACAATGATCCTGGTGAGTCATGACGTGATGTCGCTCTGTGAGGCTCTGCCGATAATTGCGCTAGTGCAGCCTGTGTGCGATACCCGGGTCTTATCATTCATCTGTCTGTGATCCTCCTCAGAGGTCATGGGTGAAATGGAGACATTACAGACACTATGGGCCCGAGGCTGACTGATAATTAGTCACATTTACTTAAGACGGAGGGTTCCAAACTTCTCAGACTGGGACCCCCAAAGCAAGAGTGAGATCAATTCACCAGTCGCAACCCCCACTGCGGAATTAAATTGAAAGCTTTTTCGAAGCGTCCAGTCTTATCTAACGTTGTTCATTTGCATAATGTGCTATGCTATTGCACCAAATCTGACTTCATATGGTGTCTTGTACTAAATCATTACTTAAATACACTGTGACCTTTTCAAAATGTGACTCCCACTTTAGGAACCACTGACATGCACAGTGGTGGATGCAGTGGCCAATACTTGAGAAAAGAGTAGCATTACATTGATATTACTTCAGGAAAAGCACAATCAAAGAAGAGTACAACTGTCTTGAATGTATAGACACACAAAAACAACATCTCATCTCAGCATATTTGAAGAACTTGTGCAATCTACACATGGTTCATTTCCAATCAGTGCATTTCCAATCTCATCATACATTGCTCACGTACAGTACATCAGTTGTCCTGTGCCTCAGAGCACACCTTAGTGTTTGTGTGAGCAGCTTTGATTACTTGTTCCAGCCCCAGCATCAAATCAACAACCTACGAATCAACAAAACTAAACAACAAAAATATAATACTCATTGACTGTGTTTCTAGCTTAAAAATAAAATAACAGCTCAGAGGGTCACAGGGGAAGCAGCTTTCTCAGGATAAGACAAGATCACATTATTCTTTGAAGGATGTTTGACAGGAGCTCAGCCCTTTCAGTGGATGACAACCTGCCATGCATTTGATAAGATAACAAGACACCTCCGCACACATTCAAGACACAATTTGAAGGTTCTTTACTGAAAACCGTAATTAGCCTGCATTCATGTCATATATATAATATGTTTAATAGTTACGTGTCTGACTCTATCTAATCTACATTCATTAAGTGCACTCAGTCTGCTACCTTCTTTATGTGCGATGACTTTGCCTGCTATTCCGCAGTGCATTAAACAAAAACATAAGTATTGATTGTCATTACATTTTATGGCAAGCAAATAGCAATAAACATGATTTAGAATGAGAAACGATTGATATACAGGAGATGCATTATTCTCCAGCAGGGTTCTCCAATCTATAGCTCGGGAGCAATCAGTAACCCGCCAACCCCTTTCAGTTACATTTTGAGTCATTGTAGACCAGCAGAGACTACAGCGCATCGTGCGCTCTGCAAAGAAGGTGATCAGCTGCAGCCTTCCATCGCTGCAGGATCTGTACGTCGCCCGAGCTCGTAGCCGGGCTGGTTGTATCACAGCCGACCCCTTTCACAGCCGACCCTCTTTCAAGAGTCTAACAGCAGAGGGGAAGAAACTGTTCTTGTGAATAGTCACATGGACTATTCCAACCTCTCCCCTCAGGCAGGAGGCTGCGGTCCATCAGGACCAGAACCTCCCGCCACAAGAACAGTTTCTTCCCCTCTGCTGTTAGACTCTTGAACACCCAAAACCTGTCCCCCCGCCCTGTATAAGTCACCTCACGGCCCCTTATACTGTAAAGTCACCTTACTGTCCCTTATTAAGGTACTTTAAAGCCATCATAACGTCACTTTACTGCCCGTCACCTTATTGCACTGCCTACTGCATATTGTGTGCACCATGTGCACTTGTACATATTGTACATAGTAATTGCAATAATTCTATTTTAAATTTTACACCTTAGAAGTGTATGCTGATTTGTATTATGCCTTACTCTATTCTCTATTCTTTACCTCTCTTCTTTGACTGTTGCACCGAGCCAAAGCCATTTCCAAGTCTGTGACTTCCTGTTATAAAAAATATTCTGATTCTGATGATTTTCCGCGGTTATTATATAAGCTACAGTTTTATAATTACAAAAAAAATAAGATAATAAAAGTAGCTCTCTGCCATTTCTGTTGCACAAAAGTAGCTCTCCAATTGAAAAAATGTTGGAGACGCCTGTTCTACACAATGCAATATGGTTATCATTGCGTCATATCTTGCGGTGGATTATATGACCCAGTTTGCTCATGTGTCATATGCAGGCTGCACTGGGAGAACATGCAGGGCAGGTGCAGAGATGTAGAGTGAATATTTCATGGATGGAACAACAGGACTGGGATGTGAGGGCTGTCACGGAGGAGAGACTGCAGCTTTGATCACTGCAGCTGAGGCCAGGGGTTGGACAAACAATTATGCTTTGTTCTACAAGTGTTTTCATGGGAAAACGGCAAGAAATTAATCTCATTGTATTTGCCTTAAGTCAGCAACTTCAATCGTGTTTTGTTTGTAAAATATTGCATGTTGATGCCCTTACAACCATCTGCTCTTGTGTACATAATATCAAAGTAATGCATTTGAAATTGTGAAAAAACCCCATAGAAGCCAACATTGATGGCACATTAGTTTCAACGGCAGAGATAGCTGAAACTCACATCTCTAATATTAGGTTATGGCCTGAACGCATTGGCATCAGAACCACACGTCCAATATGAACTCTAGCGCCACCTGTCTCAAAGTAATAGGGCACTAGTGCTCGGATCGCCCTGAAACCCGCCGAGGGTAATCTCTGAACCAAGTCGAGCAAAACATTACATCACGCTAAAGTTGTAAGTCCCACACCCGACCACTGGGGGTGCCCTGAAATCTTTGAATGAGTCCTTGGAGCTTTTTCTCCAATGAAAAATACTAAATTACGCGGAGGGTGCATGTCCCACAGGTGACCACTAGGGGCGCAGTGGATCTAATTATTGTATTTTTGATCTAGAATATCTTAACTGATCTGAAAGGGTCAATATGATTTCTACAGGTTGACTTGTTGTCTGGGGACATATCAAAAAAGTAGATGTAATGTGTATGTAATTCAAAATGAAAATATTACTTACTGTCCCTTTCAAAGTGAACCAGAACAACAAGTGTGATTGAACTTGCCCTTACAGTTGTGTACTATTGAATATAAATATTCAAATTGTTGTTAAGGCTAAAATCTGATTTCACATACCATATACTTATATATACTATATGTATATAATTCAGTCTATATGTGTATATACGGTGGACTGAATTATATGTGTAGTATATATCAGTATATGGTATCTTTCTATACTTTCTTTGTGAGTAATAACACATTTGTCAATCCAGCTGATCATTTACATAAAGTCATTTACATGACAATCAGCCCTCGGGTCATAACAAGGCATTTAAATCCTTCTGAACAACGACACTAAAGTTAATTGTCATGATTTTGCCCTTTCTATAAAAGCTCTTGTGTTTGCACAGCGGGAAAAACAACACTGTGTGTTTCGGAAGATTAATTTACAGAGACTTAATCAAGGTCAAAGCATGTCCCTGTTATCTACAGGTGCACAGGTGGTGGGATTTAGGCTGGAAGAGTCTGGCATAGCTTTCAATATCCATTTCAGCAGGCCTATCCCACTAAGCAAGCCGACGTTGAATCAACGTAATTTGAACGTCGTTGTCCGACGTAGAATATAGGTCACTGGTGGGTGCAGAATGAAAGTTTTCTCGACGTCGTTTCCCGACGTCACCTCAACCTCCAAATGTTACGTTGATGGCACGTCAATTCAAGGTTTGAATGTGGTACGGAACCGGTCGGGTCTGACGTCCTATCAACGTCTCATATGACCAAAATATTGACGTTCATATGACGTTCGTTTTCAGTCGTTCCCACTAAGCAAGCAGATGTCAAAACTATGTCATTTCAACGTCATCTGGACGTTCATTCAAGGTTGCAATGTGGTACAGAACCGGTCGGGTCCGACGTCCTATCAACGTCTTATATGACCAAAATATTGCCTTCATATGACGTTCGTTTTCCGTTGTTCCCACTAAGCAAGCAGATGTCAAAACTATGTCATTTCAACGTCATCTGGACGTTATCTGGACGTTCAAATGACGTCGCGGCCACTTCATTCAAGGTTACAATGTGGTACAGAACCGGTCGGGTCCGACGTCCTCTCGACGTCTTATATGACCAAAATATTGACGTTTATATGACGTCCATTTACAGTCCTATTGACATACTTAACCTCTGCAGAATCACTTACTAGTCGAGACATACTTTTTGCAATAGGCAAGGCAAGTTTATTTGTATAGCACAGTCAAAACAAAAGGAAACTCAAAGCACTGAACAAAAGATAGAAACAATCAAACAAGGCATTACAATTATAAATATTGACAGTAAATTAAAAAGATACAAATAAAATCTCTCAGTTGAAGCAGAAACAGAAGTGTTTTAAACCTGGATTTTAACATTGTCAAAGAAGAAGCCTGTCTCACATTTCCAGGAAGACCGTTCCAGATTTTAGCCTTGTGAATCTGAAATGCAGCTTTATCATGTTTAGTTCTGACTCTGGGCAATAAACGATAAACACAGCATTCAAAAATCATTAGAACAACTGTAGTAGAAGGATATCGGTCATTAATGCAAATGGAGCTGCATTAAAAATCATGTTTCTCTACATCAAAGTACAAGTTAAAGCACACAGGGCACAGTGTTATGAACACTACTGTA